TTTTCCCAGCCGCCGACTGATCGAGAAACTGTGGGTTTCATCGGCCATTACAAGCAACTGGCCTCTTAAAAGGACAGCTCACCCAAAAAAGTAAACGCTGTCAGCATTTACTCACCCTGGAGTCGTTCTAAACCTGTTCTTCAAAAGGAAGATATTCTGAAGAATGTTAGTAACCAATTAGATGATGGTCCCCATTGACTTCCTTAGCATGGAAATAAAACCCACTATGGAAGCACTTTTGAAGGAACTCATACAGGTTTGGAAGGACTTGAGAGTGAGTAAAAGAGACAAACTTATATGATATGATCCATCTTCCGTTTCACAGATGAGAAGCGCGGCCTGCATTCACACTCACGGAGCGCGGCTGTCCGGAGAAGCGGCGGTTGTAGTCGTGGATGTCTCTGAGGATCAGCGCGGGTTCGACCTGGTCCTCCTGCGTCTGAGCGCTGTGCCCCGTGTCACGGAAGAGCGGGAACAGCAGGGTCACCTGACGAACCAACACAAACACATACACCCGCTCACTCACTGGAGTGTACTGCTAGACACGCTGAGCTTCAGTATTTGAGAGATTTTTGTGGACTTTTACCGTTTGCCTGCAGATGGGGCAGCTGATGGCGCCGAGCCACGTCCCGTAGCGCCAGTACGCCACGATGCACGGCCCTGCGGTTAAACACAGAGAGACGTGACTACACATCAGCAGATACGCTCATGTTCAACCGGACCTGAGCTCAGTCTCACCGCAGAACAGATGACCGCAGTTGGTCTCCACGGGCAGAACGGCCTGCTGCAGACACACGGGACACGACATGTCCGAGTAGAACTGAGGCCTGGGCTCAGACGACGACAGCTGCGGAAGACAGGAGCAGCGCTGGAGTCTCAATGCAGCTTTACACAAAATCTTCACGGGGCTTACTGCTTTAATAAATAATCTTGAACAGTATTGACACTCCTACAGTGAATATTCACAAACCTGCTCCGACTGCAGCTGCTCTCGGACCACACGCACGTGCTCCTGATTCTCCGGGTGAATCCTCTGCTGCTCACTCCTGAGAGAGAGAGAACACAGTGCACGGCGTGTCAGTATGTGCTGATGCAGTGCGGGGTCAGGGGTCAGAGGTCAGGGTCTCACCTGCAGAGCAGCGTCGTCAGAGCGAGCAGAAAGCTGACGCTGAGCCCCAGCACGAGCAGGACGGGGTCACTCACTCCTTCAATCAGAGAGCCCTCCTCGGGAGCCGCAGAGTCCATCACAGCTGCTCATGCGCTCCAGCCCATAATCACACACACACACACACTCTCACTCACTCACTCACTCACTCA